AAAATTGTAATTGAATTGAAGAAATAGATGTTTCAATTATAAATGTGTACTATATTCCTGTCTCTCTCTCTCTCCCTCTCTCTTTCGGTAACAGCCTAGATCTTTGTAAAGACTCTTGGCAGGGGGATGGCATTCATAACCTTTCAGGAAAACACCTTTTGGAGATAATAACTTTTAGAAAAGCATGACTTTTCAGAGAAGAGCCAACAACCCTTTAGAGTAGAATCTTCTCTTGTGGTATACAAAGAGATAGGCGATGGTTTCAGTTGTTAGACTGAATAACTTGTTATCTCTGATGTGTTAGTAAAACAGAGATTTACCACTGCATAAAAAAACAGAAGTGCTTCAGAAGAGTATTTCATTGCCCAAAAATATATACTCTCCCATAAAACAACTTGTTTATATCATGTACTCAAGAGACAACAATAAAGTAGACGTTGATAAAAAAAATAACATATTTTGTTTACTCACAACCTGCATTTGGTACCTATCCAGGTACAAAACTTATCAGTCCAGTTTCAGATATATTTGAGAAAATTCTCTGTGCCATCCAGTCAGGGCATCTCTTACAACAAAACAGCTATCAGCAGGTCACATAGTCAAAAGGATAAAGAGAGAGAGAGAGAGCGTGTACAGCCTGTCTACAGGTTGTAGACAGCCCCTTTTGTAACTTTGTCTACAGCCCCTTTTGTAACTTCTCAGGAACCGCAGAGAAAAGGAAGCTGCATACCAGAACATACAAACAGGAAACAGTAAGCAGCAACAGGATCATAGATAAACATTACTAGAGAAGGCTTGAAGAAGGTTATCCTTTCCAACACAATTTACTAATAATAACTTTACTTCTCCAATTGTCTTTCTTCTCTCTCTCTCTCTCTCTCTCTCTCTCACACACACACACACACCTGCCTTGTGTGGAAAAAATGGAAATATTTTTTAAAATATTCAGCAAAAAGAAATATTTAAAAGCCATGAACAAAAATCAGTACTGTTCCATTATCCAGGGGGAAGCCATTAGGGGGCACTAGAGAGAGAAGGGTAGTCAATTTTATTGGGGGGGGGGGGGGAGTTGAAGGAGGAAAACCATTTTCCCCATTTTTGCTGGGTATTCCCCCTCCCCGCTCCCCATATCATAAAAGAGGGTTATTTCCAGGACAGGGACATGGGTGGGGGGAATAACAGGAAAAACAGAGGGTAATCTCTCCCCAAAATGGACTATCCGTCTCTGTCTAGTGCCTCCTGGTGGCCTCCACCTGGATAATGGAACAGTACCAAATCGTGTTACATAGGCCCCTTCTACACTGCCAGATCATCTGTTTTGAACTAGATTCTATGGCAGTGTAGACTCACACAATCCAGTTCAAAGCAGATAACACAAGCCAACAAAATCAAACTTTTTGTAATCTTCGGAAATGAGAGTAGCACAGTTTAAATCGTTTTTATGCTCATTTTAAATATGTCTTAATTTTTTTCCCATCACATCAACTTTTTAAAATGTGACGAATAGTACATTACAGCAGACTACTGTAAAGTTTGCACATTTCACATCATATATGGGTAACACAAACCAATAAGTATTTTTCATCAGATATAATTTTAAGTCATTCTTATATAGTTGTTTTTAGCACTGAATTCAGATCTGTGTTTATTTTTTTCTCTATCATGTAGTTTTTGCAATGAAGCTAATCAAATAATTAATGCATTTACACACTGATATCAATACAGTGGGTTAAACCGCTGAGCAAATGAACTTGCTTGCTGAAAGGTCACAGGTTCGAATCTTGGATCCTGCTGTTAGCTCTAGTTTCCGCCAACCTAGCAGTTCAAAAACATGCAAATGTGAGATCAATAGGCTCCACTCTGTTGGGAAGGTAATGGTGCTCCATGCAGTCATGCTGGCCACATGACCTTGGAGGTGTCTACTGACAACACCGGCTCTTCAGCTTAGAAATGGAGATGAGCACCAACCCCCAGAGTTGGACACGACTGGACTTAATGTCAGGGGAAAACCTTTACTATCAATACAATCTAAATTATATCAGTGTGTAAATGCATTAATTATTTGATTAGCCTCATTGCAAAAACATGATAGAGAAAAAAATTAACACAGATCTGAATTCAGTGCAAAAAAACTCTTTAAAATTATCCTGTGCAAGATTATTTAAAACAGAAGCATATAAATATTTTGATATACACACTCAGAATGACCCTCCATCAGGAATGGGAGAAGAAAGAAGATGAAAATATTAAAGTAGGAATAAAGAAAAAGTAGAAAACAGACACTAGTTCATGATTAAAGAAGGTCGGAAGTTCTAAATATACTCTTAGTTTCGTACTCCCAATATTACCGTATGTCTATCTTCTCTGTACGCCTACCCACACAGTTTCCCCTACCCCATTCCCTTAGGATAGGGTTTTGTTTCGTTGTTTTAAGTAGCACCGGTAGATAGGTTAGGAAGGGAGGTGGTGGGGGAGGTAGATTTGCAATATATACTTTGTATGTTTGAATTTCTTATTTCTTGTATCTACTTTTACTTTTAATCTGCATATGTTTAAAATTTAATAAACAGTATTTTTTTAAAAAAAAGAATTACCTAAAATTATTGGTTCCACTCTGGTGGGAAGGTAACAGTGCTTCATGCAGTCATGCTGGCCACGTGACCTTGGAGGTGTCTACGGACAATGCCAGCTCTTCAGCTTATAAATAGAGATGAGCACCATTCCCCAGTGTCAGACTCCGAGTAGACTTAATGTCAGGGTTAAACCTTTACCTTTACTATCAATACAATCTAATTGATATCAGTTTGTAAATGCATTAGTTATTTGATTAGCCTCATTGAAAACTATACACGATAGAGAAAAAAATAAACACAGATCTGAATTCAGTGCTAAAAGACAATACCTAAAATTATTCCTGATGAAAAATACTTGTTGGCTTGTGTAATGTAGACTATTAGGAATCGTGGGAGTTGAAGTCCAAAACACCGGGAGGGCCGAAGTTTGCCCATGCTTGATCTACATTGTTAAATTCAATGTAGTCTTTAATCACCATGGCTCAGTGGTATGTATGGAGTCAAGGGTGTTTTGACATTTGACAAGCTACATCATCACACTAGAGAATGAATCCATTTTAAATCTGGTTTCTGCCTCCTGCAGAATTCTGGGGTTTGTAGTTTAGGGGGGACCCTTTAACAGCCTTACTAAACTACAAACCCCATAACTCTGCAGGAGGCAGAAACCAGATTTTAAGTGGATTCATTCTCTAGTGTGATGAAGTAGAAGGTCTAGCTGCGATTTCTGCCAAAGCATGCAGCTGACTAAAAACCTTAGCTTTCCATAACATTGAGCCATGCTCATTAAAAAGGGGCCATTTGCATTAATCACATCAGACTAGAGGAGCCCCCAGTGGCGCAGTGGATTAAACCCCTGTGCCGGCAGGACTGAAGACCGACAGGTCGCAGGTTTGAATCCGGGGAGAGGCGGATGAGTTCCCTCTATCAGCTCCAGCTCCTCATGTGGGGACATGAGAGAAGCCTCCCACAAGGATGATAAAAACATCAAAATCATCCAGGCGTCCCCTGGGCAACATCCTTGCAGAAGGCCAATTCTCTCACAACAGGACACTCCTGACACGACAAAAAAAAAAATCAGACTAGAGCTGAAAGGGGAGGTAAAGAGTTAAATCCTATGTCTGCTTCCTCCTGCAGGAGCCTGGGCTTTGTAGTTTAGCAGAGGGAGGCTCGGCCAGAGAGATCCTGGTTCTCATTCAGCAACCAAGCAAAGAATTCTGCAGGAGTATTGTCGAAGGCTTTCATGACTGGAATCACTGGGTTGTTGTAGATGCTATATGGCCATATTCTAGAAGCATTCTCTCCTGACATTTCGCCTGCATCTATGGCAAGCTTACTTACTTACTTAGGCGATCCCTCGTTGTCCAAATAGGATAATCCTCCAGGGTGGGTCCGTAGGTGACTATTGAGCCGTATTCTTGATCTGCATCGTCTCCTGCAGTAAGGCCATTGGTTTCCAGGTGGAAGGTGGTCCTGGTCGGGGTTGGCTTGACACACCTTCCTCTTGGCACATTTCTCTCTTTCACCCTCCATTTGTGCCTCTTCATATTCTGCAGCACTGCTGGTCACAGCTGACCTCCAGCTGGAGTGCTCAAGGGCCAGGGCTTCCCAGTTCTCAGTGTCTATACCAGAGTTTTTAAGGTTGGCTTTGAGCCCATCTTTAAATCTCTTTTTCTGCCCCCCAACATTCTGTTTTCCGTTCTTGAGTTTGGAGTAGAGCAACTGCTTTGGGAGACGGTGGTCGGGCATTCGGACAACATGCCAGTCCAGCGGAGTTGATGGCGGAGGACCATTTCTTCAATGCTGGTGGTCTTTTCTTCTTCCAACACGCTGACGTTTGTCCGCCTGTCTTCCCAAGAGATTTGCAGCATTTTCCGGAGGCAGCGCTGATGGAATCGTTCTAGAAGTTGCATGTGACATCTGTAGACAGTCCATATCATGTGATCCATGCACACCTAACCAATTTCACCAGTGGGAAGTGGCACTCATCTTCATTGTCACACAGGCAGTTGTTAAATATGTATTTGGCACCCAATGGATGATAAGTAAATAATACTTATAGGCATATAGCAGAGTTGGGAAGACAATAGCTTTATAAACAAGCACCTTGGTATCCCTACGCATGTCCCAGTCCTCAAACACTCTCTGCTTCACACCCTCTGAGGATGCTTGCCATAGATGCAGGCGAAACGTCAGGAGAGAATGCTTCTAGAACATGGCCATATAGCCCGAGAAACCTACAACAACCCTATTCTGCAGGAGGCAGCTCCAGGGTTTCAATTGGGATGCTGCACACTCTTTCCCTGCTCTTCCATCTCAAGTGTGATGAAGGCAAGAGTAATGGACCAAAGCAAAGACAAAGGGTTGAGCCTAAGGCATGGCCATTGCACTCAAGGCTGGAGGTGCTTGCCTTTCCCCTCCTTGGCTCACCTGCTCCGGCGGCGCCTTCGCCCAGGCGGCATGGCTGGCTCTGGAGGGGAGGGGGAGCCGGGCTAGGAGGGCCAGGAGGAGGCCAGTGTTAGCCCAGGACTCTATGGCAACGGAAGCGAGGGAGAGGCCGGGGAGGACTCTGCGTAACAATGGAAGCAGGAGCAGCAATAGTAGCAGGCGCCGCCTCTGTCGCGGTCCGAGGCGCAAAGGGAAGGCTGGAGAGGCATCCTTGCTGCCGCCTTCCAAAAACTGATCTCTTAGCAAAAGACCATCCAATCCATGCTCTTCCTGCTTTGGAGACTCACTGGAAAGCAGGCAGGCAGGAAGCAGCTCTCGGGCTGATTCTGCACTGCCAAATAATACAGGATATGCAGGATTTGGGTCTTTCCAGTGGTTCTCAACCTGTGGGTCCCCACTTATTTTTTATTTTTTGCCTTTATCTCCCAGAAATACTTACAGCTGGTAAACTGGCTGGGATTTATGGGAGTTGTAAGCCAAAACACAGGCTGAGAACCACTGTACACTCACCAGATCATGCAGGTCAAACTGCAATATTTGGCCCTTGCTGGAATTAATGCAGTTTGATACCAACTTCACTGCCATAGTTGGATGCTATGGAATCATGGGAGTCAACCACGCTCTTGAGGGAAAATTTGACAACTTTCCTGTGTGGAATAGCTTTGAACTAATGGTGACATGCAAATGTGAGTAGATCAATAGGTACCGCTATTGGAGTTTTGGAGTTAGGTGCCATCTCTATGCAGATGACACACAACTCTATTACTCTTTTCCACCTAACTCCAAGGAAGCCCCTTGAGTGCTAGACGAGTGCCTGACCGCTGTGGCTGTCTGGATGAGGACGAACAAGCTGAAGATTAATCCCGACAAGACAGAGGTCCTCCTGGTCGATCGTAAACCAGACCGGGGTATAGGGTGGCAACCTGTGCTAGACGGGGATTGCACTCCCCCTGAAGTCACAGGTGCGCAGTTTGGGGGTCCTATTGGATTCTTCACTTACATTTGAGGCTCAGGCATCGTGGTGGCCAGGAGGGCCTTTGCACAATTAAGACTCATGCGCCAACTGCGACCGTACCTCGGGAAGGCGGATCTGGCCAAAGTGGTCCATGCCTTAGTCACCTCTAGACTGGATTACTGCAATGCACTCTACGTGGGGCTGCCCTTGAAAACGGCCTGGAAATTTCAGATGATCTAACGGGCGGCGGCCAGGTTGCTAACTGGGGCCCCTTACAGGGAGCAGTCAACCCTCCTGTTCAAGGAGCTCCACTGGCTGCCATTCATCTACTGGACCCAATTCAAGGTGCAGGTTCTCACCTATGAAGCCCTGAACGGTTTGGGACCTGCCTACCTGCGTGACCGCATCTCTGTATACGAACCCATGCAATCCCTTCGATCGTCCAGGGAGGCCTTGCTCTCAATCCCACCAGCATCGCAGGCCCGGTTGGTGGGGACGAGAGAGAGGGCCTTTTCGGTGGTGGCCCCTCGACTCTGGAACTCACTCCCTAAAAACATCAGACAGGTCCCAACCTTGGCAGTCTTTAGGAGGAGCTTGAAGACGTGGTTGTTCCAGTGTGCCTTCCCGGAATAATGATCCCATAGCACTTTGTCCTCCAAAGCACTTTACATTTTTTAGATCTGCTCGTATGCCCTTCCACAAATGCCACTATCACCTTTCGTCCATGTCCCAGCATTATTTCCATTTTAACTTTACATTTGGCCTTCCCACTGTTTTTAATTGCGTGTTGTCTTATTGATAATGTTGTATATTTTATTGTCTATGTTTTTATTTTAATTGCTTGTACTGTTTTTGTTTTTATATTGTTGTATTTGGGCTCGGCCTCATGTAAGCCGCACCAGTCCCTTGGGGAGATGGTAGCGGGGTACAAATAATAAATTATTATTATTATTATTATTATTAGTAGATCAATAAGTACCACTCCGACAGAAAGATAACGGTGCTCCATACAGTCATGCCAGCCACATGACTTTGGTGGTGTCCACAGACAACGCTGGCTCTTCGGCTTAGAAATGGAGATGAGCACCAACGCCCAGAGTCGGACATGACTGGATTTAATGTCAGGGGAAAACCTTTACCTTTACCTTAATGGTGACAGAAACCAAGGATCTGCACTTTGTGATCACATTTTACCCCTGGGGAATTTTAGACTGTTTAATTTTACAGTAATACTACTAGTAGTAAAGATAAAGGTTTTCCCTTGACATTAAGTCCCCTCGTGGGAAAGCTCGATTCCACAATCCTCATTTTAATGAGCCCCCCTCTGCAAATAACCTGCTTCTCCTTTTATCTCACCTGTGTTTTTAATCAGTTTTTTAATCATTTTCTCACACATGTAGCCACCCATTGTCACTGTGACTGTGTTTATTGCAATCTTATATTGTTAATGTATTCATATGTTTTATGTAATTATGATGTTGTTGTTTGTTGCATGTGTTTTTGGTTTTATTTTGCTGTAATTTGTTGATTGGGCTTGGCCTCATGCAAGACGCCCCGAGTCCCCATTGGGGAGATGGTGACGGGGTATAAATAAAGATTATTATTATTATTATTATTATTATTATTATTATTATTATTATGATGTCCGACTCTGGGGGTTGGCGCTCATCTCCATTTCTAAGCCAAATAGCTGGCTTTGTCTATAGACATCTCTAAGGTCATGTGGCCAGCATGACTGCATGGAGTGCTGTTACCTTCCCGCTGGAGTGGTACCTATTGATCTGCTCATATTTGCATGTTTTTGAATCTCTGGGTAAGCTGAGGGTAACAGCGGGAGCTCATGCCACTCCCCAGATTTGAACCTGCAACCTTTCGATCAGCAAGTTCAGCAGCCCAACGTTCTGCGCCACCAAGGGCTGCTTTCTACTACTATTACCACATTGAGTCCTTGGAGAAAGGCAATATAGAAATGTCCCAAATAAAAGAAATAGATAAAGGCCATAACTGGATGCTATGGTATCATGGGAGCAGACCTGTAGCTCGGGAGGGGGGGCGGTGTTAAGGGTTCAAATCCCCCATTGTTTCAATTTAAAGAAAAGCCTGGTTTCCTCATGAATTTTAACTGGTTAACCAATTCATTAGTACAGGCATGTAGCCGGGGGGGGGGGAGGGGCTTGGGGGGCTTCAGCCCCCCCCCCGAAATTCTCATGGTGGTCCACGAGAAGGCCTTACTGGTACATTATTTAAACTGTTATGTTTATTCATATCATGATCTGATCACCATGCTCAATATATCCCATATGCATGGGGGTATTGGGGTAACAATACAAAAGGTTTGCTAGCGTAGACCCTCTTTCACTCAGACTCAGCCCCCCCGAAACAAACTCACCCCCCCCCCCAAACAAAATCCTGGCTACGGGCCTGGATTAGTACATCAGTTCTTTTTAAAAAAATAACCTGAAACACTTCCAGGAGGAGGGGCTGCATCTATGGAGAGGCTTTCTTGGAAAGATATGCGCAGAGGGGGGCTTCCTTTGTCTTCCTCAGAGGCTGAGAGAGTATGACTTGTGCACGTGGGTTTTGATGGTCTAGTGGGGATTCATACCCTGATTTTCAAAGTCTGCTGCCAGTGATTCTCCCATGCTTAACTACTGAGATAGTTTGGTATGATGCCAATCAGATATTTGTTATTGTTATGTCACTACTACTATAATTTTAAACAACGTCATCTGTGCACATTCAGAAGAAGACCTACAAGCCACTCTAAACACCTTCACAGAAGCATATGAGAAGCTTGGCTTGAACATTGAGAAAACCAAAGTGCTCTTCCAGCAGTCACTAGGCAATCCCTCTCCAATGCCAGAAATACAGCTTAATGGTGTAACATTAGAAAATGTGGACCATTTCCGCTGCCTTGGCAGCCACCTCGCCACAAAAGTCAACATTGACACTGAAATTCAACACCGCCTGAGCTCTGCAAGTGCAGCCTTTTTCCAAATGAAGCAGAGAGTGTTTGAGGACCGGGACATCCGTAGAGATACCAAGGTGCTTGTTTATAAAGCTATTGTCCTCCCAACCCTGCCATACACTTGCGAGATGTGGACAGTCTACAGATGTCACAATGTTGGTGGGCAGGAAAAGAGATTTAAAGATAGGCTCAAAGCCAACCTTAAAAACTCTGGCATAGACACTGAGAACTGGTAAGCCTTGGCCCTTGAGCGCTCCAGCTGGAGGTCAGCTGTGACCAGCAGTGCTGTAGAATTTGAAGAGGAATGAATGGAGGGCTAAAGAGAGAAACGTGCCAAGAGGAAGGCGTGTCAAGCCAACCCCAACCGGGACTGTCTTCTACCTGGAAACCAATGCCCTCACTGCGGGAGAAGATGCAGATCAAGAATTGGGCTCCACAGTCACCTACAGATCAGCGACATCCCTCCTTTCCTTTAGAAGGAAATTAAAAACATGGATGTGGAACCAGGCGTTTGGGCAATCTGGCAGATAAATAAAGGACTGCGACAACTGATAGGAATAGACAATGTGGAACGAAGTATGAACTCTGAGTTGGCGAACGCTGTGCTTGAGATTGGCTTTTGACTGTGATATATATTGTTGTTTTAGTTGTTATAACTGTTTAACTGCTGATTTTATACGGTTATTGTAGTATTGTGTAGGCATCGAATTGTGCCATTTTGTAAGCCGCCCTGAGTCCCCCCTCGGGGGTTGAAGAATACAAAATAAATAAATAAATAATAAATACAGACCCACCAACAGAACACCGACCTTGAAGGACCATCATCCTCAGACTACGAGGGATCGCCTAAGTAAATAAATACTATAATTTTAAAGAGCCAGTATATGGAATAAGTTTTAATATTTATATTGGAAAGTGCTTATTGTACTTATTGTATTGTTCTTTTAAAGGTTGTATATTATGTGATGTCATGGCCAATATGTGGTACAATAAGCAATTCATCCATCCATTCATCCCATGCCTAACTACTAACAGGTAAAAATATTTTATAATTATGTTTGCTTAACTGTTTGTTTTTCAAAACCAGAATTGTAAAATCGCTCTAAGAATAAAAAATTAAGGAACAGCGATAGGGTGGAAAGGTGAACGATCATAGGACCATGAACTGGCAAATTGGCACAATTGCATAGTTGAAGATAGGTTTGATATCAAAGGTGCTTAACTT